GTGTGTGACGGGAGGGGACCGGCGCACACTTTCAGTCTGATACCGAGTCAGCCACGGCTGCAGCCTGGGGGGCACACTTCAGAACAAGTCCTGAGATGTGTTTTACTTCAAAACATACACTTGCAAAATAGCTGGATATTTTCACTGTACGAAAAACAGTACTGGACAAGAGTGAGTATGCCTGTCCCCACCCAGTCTTACCCCTCTTCTGGAAGTAACCACAGCTACTGAAGCCTCCCAGGCCTTTCCTGAACATATTCCTATATATAATCATATGCAGATCCCTATCCCACCCCACAAACCCAGATCCCACGTGTGGCTGTACGTGTGTGGTGTTAGTTTTCACAAACACACCCATCAAATACACGGCCCTACCACTTGCTTCTCTGGCTCAGCAATCTATTTTAGAGATCACACCACGTCAGCCCAGACATCTCCTTGCTCCTTTTACACTGCTGCATACTACTCCATCATTAAGCCACTCCAGCCTGCATGTGGCCATCAGTCCACTGATGTTCCAATCTCACCAGTGTAGTGGCCGTGTCTATAGTGGACAGCTGCCCCAGGACAGATCCCCAGATGTGGGATGCCCAATGGGAGTATCCAGACACTAGTGTAGGGAATGTCGGTCATGAAGGATGGATGGATGTGCAGTCCAGCCTCCACCCACACCATGGCTCCTGGGTAGGACACTGACACCAGGGCCATGTTTGAGAGGCCCGTGTGGTTCCTCAAGGTGGGGGATGTGGGTGGGAGCAGAGAGGAAGGGACAGGAAGGATGGGAAGTGAGGAGACGGTCACAGTCTGCTTGTGAAGGTGCTCTGTGCCTGTCTCAGTGGTGCCTTTGGGCTCCTCAGTGGGTTGCCAAGTCCTAAAGGCACGGCAGGCCCTTGCTCTGTCCTCCAATCTTGGTAAATCACCTCACAAGTTGGGCAAAAACGCAGTTTTTGTTTTGAGTCTGATAGGGAAAAAGTACAAATGTCAGGTCCACTTTGGAAGAAGCAAGATCCAACAGCTTGTGTGTAGAGGGTACGTTACCACTGGGACCATGGAAGCACAGAGAACATCTCCACGTCAAGCATGACTTAGTGCAGTTGTTATCAGAATCGCTGTGTTTGTCGTAACCATCATTAGAGGAAAATATTTATAAAAGATGGGCTGAAAGCATCTTTAGAAAGTGACCCAGTGCTTTTCTGAGACTCCCTTCTTGGGAAGGACACGTGTCCTCTGGGCAGGACAGGTGTCACTTCCACCCACCCACCCTGCCAAGAGCCACCTGAGAGTTTGCCAAGCTTAGAAACAGAAAGACATTACTGACACGGGAACCAAGCATGAACTGTGAAGCCAGAACAGGGAAGACTTGTTAACGGAGATCACATCTGACCAATGCTTGACGTGCAGCCCTCCAGAGCAATCCACTCCTGCGGCCATAACCTGCCGGAAACAGCACTCCCCACGCCAGTCCTCTGCTTGGACCTGCAGCGGACCCCAGCATCACGGAGTCAAGGTCAGGCTCCCAGCCCGGGTGCAAAGCCTGCTGTGGTCTGGCCCTGTCCACCTGTCCAGCCTTAATCCGAATTACCGTTCCACTTTTCATGCACTTCACTGAGCCCGTGTGACTTCCTCACTGACAACGTTCCACACCTCTCTCTCACCTGACCTGACTGCTGCTGCTGGTCCCTGTCTAGAGCATTCCAAGCTCCCGTTTCCTCAGGTCCAGATCCCTTACAGAGCCTCCTCTCCTGAGGGCTCGTGGTGCTCTGACCTTCCGTGGCACTCACTGCTCATGTCCCCCAGGGTGGGAACCATCCCCCCTGTGCGCTGTGTGCTCCTGGGGGCAGGAACCGTGACTCATCTGTGGGGCTGCATGACGAGTCTCACAGAGGACCCCGGCTGTCCCAATGCGAGGGGAAGCTGTTGCTGTGATGGGCACGTGAGGATCTCACCCTGGCTGGGCAGCAACATGGAAGGAAAAGGCGTAACCCTCAGAAGTGGCTGGAAGGCCACCGTGGCCTTCAGAGTACTCAGGGAAAGCAGCACGAGGAACCAAAGCAGGAGCTGGAGGCTGCACCAGCTGGCCCTCGACTAGCGTGTTTGTCTGAGGTCAGTGTCTCATTCCTCGCGGTGCCACGCTGAGGCTGCTCCCTCATTAGTGACCAGCAGAAACGGGTGGTGGACAGGGCCTCTGGCCTCCGAGGCAAAGGAATGAGCAGACCCCCAGGTGGCTGCCCACTTGGGGTTTGATCTGCACATTCTATGCCGCCTCTTCAACGCCTGCTTCCTTGTGAGTAAAAGGCTGATGACCTACCAGCCCCAGGGAGGATCGCGCACCTGGCCCGTGCCAGCCGCTCCCAGAGGGGAGGCCTTCCTTCTGGCGTCTTCTGGGCTCATCGAGCCGTGGTGCAGATGGAGTCTCTCGCTGGATAAACGCAGGGACTCCTTGAGGCGGCATGTGTACCGCGGGCTGCAGGGTCCAGCAGACCCACGCAGACGTCCAGGGCGCACTGGTAGGAGCTTCTCGCCTGGGGCAGGTGACTCAGCTTCTCTGAGAAGCCTCATCTGGGCGAAGCTGGGGAACCTACACCCCCGAGGGTTGTCCTGAGGGGCACTGGTACTGTCTGCGGAGCTGCTCGGCGAATGGGAACCTGTGATGCCACAGAAGGCAACGGGGAGGGACTCTCGGCTCTCCCCGGCTTCAGCAGCCATCCTCTGTGGTTGACGGAGAGCACGGCTCTACCCTGCTGCACTGGACCCAGCAGACATACCTCGACATGGTCCTGCCTCCTGGGAGCACGAAGCCAAGTTGCCCGTGACAAGGCGATGCAGTCAGCCCTGCTTCCAGACTGCACACCTGTGTGCTACTCATTAGCACCCACCATGTGTCAGCAACACCCCAGGTCGGGGCAGTCAGTATCCATCCACCAGCACCCACCGGGTATCAACAACACTTCAGGGCGGGGCAGTCCAATATCCATCCCCCAGCACCCACTGGGTATCAACAACGCTTCACGTCGGGACAGTCAGTATCCATCCACCAGCCCCCACTGGGTATCAGCAACACCCCAGGTTGGGGCAGCCCTGTATCCATCTACCAGCACCCACCGGGTATCAACAACGCTTCAGGTCGGGGCAGTCCTGTATCCATCCACCAGCACCCACTGGGTATCAGCAACACCACAGGTTGGGGCAGCCCTGTATCCATCCACCAGCACCCACCAGGTATCAACAACGCTTCAGGTCGGGGCAGTCAGTATCCATCCACCAGCACCCACCGGGTATCAACAACGCTTCAGGTTGGGGCAGTCCTGTATCCATCCACCAGCACCCACTGGGTATCAGCAACGCCCAAGGTCAGGGGGTCCAATATCCATCCACCAGCACCCACCATGTGTCAGCAATGCTCCAGGTTGGGCCAGTCTAATAGC